CAACGTGTAAAAAGACAGTATAAGTCATTATAATCAGTAATTATGTCCCCACTGGATGCAACAAATGCCTCGTTTATAATGGGTTTTAATGTTTTTTTTCGTTGCTCCATCACAGTATGGTAAGGGGCGTAACATTTCCGTCACACGCTTGAGGTATTCAGCCAATCACAACGCACTGGATAGCTGGCCAATCAGAGCACACCTCGCTTTTCAGACCGATGAGCTTTGTAAAAATCGACGCGTTTCAGAAAGGCGGGGCATAGAGGAGAAACAATAATGTACAGTATGTGGAAAATAATGTGTTTTTTGAACTTTAAACCACATAAACACATTTCATTACACCAAATACACAACATAATGTTCTTTTTAGCAACACCATATGACCCCTTTAATAGTAATAATCACAATAGTTCCATCAAGTAACAGTTCATTAGCCAAACTCTATTGCTGTTGACAGTAAACTCATTGAAAGCCTAATGATGTTTCATTGACACACCCACCAGAATGACATCACGTGTGGCATCATGAATAGGGATGTCAGACAGATGTAAGCCCCGCCCCATGAGCTCCTCCAGCCTATCAACACGCGGCGAGCCCAGAAACATGATGGAGTTGGATTCTGGGAGGTGAAGCATCTGACCTTTGAGCTCCATCACCTGAAACACACACACAGAAAAAAGTGAAGCGCTGAAATTGAAAAGCAAATAAGCATATCATATTACAAATTCAATTTATTGGTAGGGAATTCATATTAATGCAATAAGCCCGACGTGTTTGTGCTGCCATGAAGATGCACTCGCATTAATATGTTTACATGGTTTTCAAGAAAAACAACAAAGCATTTTAATGTCGTATGTTTCAAACACACACACACACACACACACACACACACACTAGATCTCATCACATCGCTCGAGGAGAGGGAGAGTGAGGCTGTTCTTTTATTAGGATTTGGTTGCTATGGAGGAGTTCTTGAACAAGTATTCTAGAATATGCAATGAATCTACATTTGTTAGGAGAAAGCATTATATTTCAGCGTGTAACTCCTGCAGACATGATGGATTGCTCAAATCATGTTATTTAAGTGATCAGATGCACCGTTTTCACCTGCTGGACCAGAAAACAGCTGAAAAATCCCACAACACCGCACTCGCAGTAATATGTTTACATGGTTTTCAAGAAAAACAACAAAGCATTTTAATGTCGTATGTTTCAAACACACACACACACACACACACACACACTAGATCTCATCACATCGCTCGAGGAGAGGGAGAGTGAGGCTGTTCTTTTATTAGGATTTGGTTGCTATGGAGGAGTTCTTGAACAAGTATTCTAGAATATGCAATGAATCTACATTTGTTAGGAGAAAGCATTATATTTCAGCGTGTAACTCCTGCAGACATGATGGATTGCTCAAATCATGTTATTTAAGTGATCAGATGCACCGTTTTCACCTGCTGGACCAGAAAACAGCTGAAAAATCCCACAACACCTAGCAGCAGAGAATGTATCCCTGCACGAGTGACCCTGAGCATCCACACAACGTTCTGTAGTGTTGTTTTAGTATTATTTATATACTAGTACAGTTTCCAAATGTTTTATTTAGCTTTTATACATTTTTTATAATTTCAGTTTTTGTATTTAAGTTTTAGTAATCCTGTTATGCTCTTTTGCCGTTTTTATTAGTGTTTATTATTTTATTATTACTTTTATAAATTTTCCTATTTAGCGTTAACGTATTTTTATTTAAGTTTTAGCAATTTTTTGTAAAGAAAAATAAAAAGTTTTGTTGTGTGTTTTTGTCATATTTATCAGGCTGTTTTGTTGTCTGCACAGTTTTATTCATTTGTATTTCTGCTTTTGTTTGTTTTTTTAGTACATCAAATTAAACTAAATGACAATTAGAAATGTTGCCTTGGCAACTAACTGAAATAAGTTTGAAGTTGAAGTTGAAGTACTAAAATAAAAAAAAGCTGAAATAAATGAAAGCTAAATAAAAGCAGGGTCGTTATAGTTAAAGTAAAAACAAAAACATTTTTGTTATTTGAAAATATATATGAACTGAAACAAAATCAAATATAAAAAAAAACTTAGTTTTTTATAGTTTAACTAAAATAACAATAAAATAAAAATTAATAAAAAAAGAAATAAAAATTTATAAAAAATATATAGACAACTAAAAAACATTTTTATTATAATTTAAGTTTGAGTGTTAAAATTTTGTTATGCTTTTTTGTCATTTTTATTAGTTTATTTCTATTTACCTTTAATGTATTTAAGTTTTAGCAATTTTGTTATGTAAATAAAATACATTAATATTATTTTCTTTTAAACTAATACAAATTACAAAACATTTGTTTTCATTTTCATTTTTTACATAATATATATTTCCAGCTTTAATTTTTTTTTCTTTCAGTTTTAATTTGAGTCATTTTAGTACTTCATCAAACTTATTTCACAGGATGCTGCAAAGCTTATGCTCATCAGAGCCCACGGCCCGTTACGTAACAGGACAGAGATATCGAATTCACACACTGTCTGCTTGTTCACACGCTCTGATGAAGGCAATAGAGAATTTCGGGTGTGAACGGAAAGTTCATTATGAAGAAGTGTGTGTATGTTTACAAAAATGCATGTGTGTGTGTTTCCTCGCCTCAGTCCCAGCTGTATAGATGTATTATGCAGAGATGGAGAGTTCTGCTTAAATAATGCAGTGTGCTGCAAGATTGGGCCATGTGTGTGTGTGTGTGTGTGTGTGTGTGTGAGAGAGAGAGAGATTGTACACTTCTGTACTCCGTCTCATCACTCTGAAACTTCCTTGTTTCTATGACGATCACAGGACTGTAGCCCTTTGCACAATCATCCAGCAGATGCACACACGCTTGTATACCACACAGTTTTGCTTTCATGTTTCAAGTGTTCACATCTACACACACGTGCATCTTTTAGAGGTCTCTGTATGGCAACCTTGTAAATAAGTACATTTCCAATTCTCTTCACCTCCAAAAGCCTGTAATATTTTTTTTTGTTAATTTAAATAAAGCTGAAATAAAATAAAATATAAATATTAGATGAAAAACTTGCACTTAAAAAACTTTTCACCGTTAAGTCTCATTGAGATCCTATTAAAGTTTTTACAAATCTTTTGAATTAATTAAAATTTTTATATTTAAATAAAGATTTAGTAATTTTGTTGTGTGTTTTTGACATATTTATTAGGTTGTTCATGTTGTCCATATAGTTTTTATACACTTTGTTTTCAGTTTTAGTACTGTACATCAAGTTGAAATGAAATGAAAATGTTAAATTGTAAATGTTGCCTTGGCAACTAACTGAAGTACTAGTTGAAGTACTAAAATTACAAAAAAAAAAATTTTTTTTATTTTTGTTACTTGAAATACAATAAACATTAACAGAATAAAATAATGAAATATAACTTAAATACTAAATACATTTTTTTAAAGAAAAATTAGAAAGCTACAACAAAATTACTAAATATAAAAGCTAATAAAAATTACAAAAGCACATGAAATTACTAAAACTAATACAAAACCTGAAAATATAAAAATAAAAGCTAAATCCAAGATATCAATATATACTATATAAATATAAAATAATATATAAATAAGTCAAAAAATAAAACAGATTTGGGTTCTAGTTACATATTGTCCTGCTTCAATAACAGTGATTTTAAAAGGAGGAGTTAGAGATACTGAACAACATACTACACTTAACACTGCAGTATTTACTAACCACTGTACTAACCATAACCCACACTCTGAGTAAATACTAACCACTGTACTAACCATAACCCACACTCTGAGTAAATACTAACCACTGTACTAACCATAACCCACACTCTGAGTAAATACTAACCGCTGTACTAACCATAACCCACACTCTGAGAAAATACTAACTACCCTTCACACCATAACCCACACTCTGAGTAAATACTAACCACTGTACTAGCCATAACCCACACTCTGAGTAAATACTAACCACTGTACTAACCATAACCCACACTCTGAGTAAATACTAACCACAGTACTAACCATAACCCACACTCTGAGTAAATACTAACCGCTGTACTATGCATAACCCACACTCTGAGTAAATACTAACCGCTGTACTAACCATAACCCACACTCTGAGTAAATACTAACCACAGTACTAACCATAACCCACACTCTGAGTAAATACTAACCACTGTACTAACCATAACCCACACTCTGAGTAAATACTAACCACAGTACTAACCATAACCCACACTCTGAGTAAATACTAACCGCTGTACTATGCATAACCGCTGGAACAGCAAAAAGTCAAATCCGCTGACTTTAGTAAATAAGGCACAATCCATGTAACTCTGATACATAGAAATGAGGGATTTAAATATGCATGACACAGATTAAACTGAAATGTGGGTGGTTTGAGAATAAGGTGTACATTTTTATGCTGAAATAACATGCAAAAGTAGCATGACTGTTTAATGATTTTGCCCCACAGAGTAACAAACCCATTAAAGAACAAACACTGAAGTTCTGAGTGAAGCAGCAGCTGCTGATCTCTCCCTCCTGCGATGAGAGAGTTTGAGCACAGCACAATCCTGCAGGAACCGTCCTGGCTAGAGTTCAAGCTTCACTGCAGTGGAACCGTTTATAGAACGATACAATAAATATATAATCAGCCCTGAGATACAGACATATGCTTCCTCTGGCTTCAACACACACACACACACACAGATTTCCATAACAAACCGTTCAGGATCAATCACTCCACATATCATCATCATCATCAGCCTGATCTCAAGATGTGGACGCTAGCAGAATAAAGCTGAAAATCTCTCAGTATATTTCTCTACGGCAGTTTATACCTGAGCACTAATTTGTTGAAACTCACTAAAGATTCTCACACCAGAGCACAAGGGTGCATCATTCATTGAGAATGACTTTCAAACTCCAGTTCAATTCCTGAGTTTGAATTGAATTTGTACTGAGGTAGAAAAGAGAAACTGCAGCTTGAGTTTGATTTTAAGCAGATTAAAATGAATTGAAATGTTCTACTTTACAATACATGTTGGCTTATAAAAGGATTGCTTTGAATGATGAATGAATAATGCATTTATATAGCACTTTATTGTTTATTTCTGTACACCAAAAGCGCTTTACAATCATGTGGGGGGGGGGGGGGGGCTCTCTCTTGAACCCGCCCGTGTGTGGTATTTGGAGAGATTTCTTTGCAAAGCCTGCTTCACGTGGACACTTATCATCTTATCTGGATTTTAAGTTCATGGAGACCCGACCATATCGGCCTGCCGGAAGAGGCCGGCTCGCACATCTCAGTAGTGATGGGAGCCCTGCCTAGGACAGCTTACACAGGAGGATCCTGGTGATGCCCCCGTACCTCCTGTGCCTCAGCAAGAAGGAGTACGCCGGTGGCCAGGAAGCCCCTCGGGGTGACCAGGCCCGTCCGGGTGCCTTGCAGCGTAGCACCGGGGGCCCGATGTTCACGAAGGCTCCCGCAAGAGCCCGTAATCGGCCGCATGATCCAGGAGGTATGAAGCCGAAGCCCGGCTTTTCTTACCGTCTGGATGTATGTCGACGAGTGACACGCCTACTGCAAGTAGAGCACCTGGCCTCTGAGCCCAGCAACG